CAGGACTGCAACAAGTGGCAAAAAGGAAGCGAGGTCAGCATGCAAAGCACAACCGATGCATGTATACAAGTGCGAGAAGGATGGAGAATAACCAAGATGAGTTGGAAGCTGCAGCCTGTGAAAAGAACTATGATCTGATTGACGTTACAGAGGCCTGGCAGGACAGCTTTTATGACTGGGACATGAATATCAAGGGTGAGACTCTATTTCAGAAGGACTGGGTTGGGAGATGATGGTGGTGTTGTCTTGTACGTCAAAAATGCACACACTTTTGCCTTGGTTCAGAAGGAAGAAGACAGAAAAGTTGAATGCATTTGGGTGAGGATGAAAGGTGAAAGATGCAACACCAGTGTAATGATGGGGATTTATTATAGGCCATTTAATCAGGAAGAGGAGGTGGATGAGGCACTCTTCAACAGATGATAGATTTATCCAAAAGCTGTGGGATGGTACTGATGGGAGACCTCAGTTTTCTGAATATCTGCTGGAAGAACAAGGCAGCCAAATATAAAATGTCAAACTGGTTCCTAACTTATATGCAAGACAATTTTCTCTTCCAGAAAGTAGAGGATACAACCAGGGGATCATCTGTCTTGGATCCTGTCCTGACCAACAGGGAAGAACTGGTGGAGGATGTGAAGGGGATGGGTAACTTGGGAGGAAGCGATCACAGTTTGCTAGAATTTCAGATCCCGAGCAAGGGAAAGCAGGAGGTCGGCAAAATTAGGATACTAGATTTCAAAAAGGTGGATTTCATTTGACTCAATAGGCATGGTGTCATGGGAGGAAAAATTGAGGGATAAAGGTGCCCAGGAGGGCTGGGGGCTTCTAAGTGGCACAGTATTGGAAGCCCAACAAAAAACTGTCCCAACACAATGAAGGCACAAGGAGAATGGCAAGAGGCCCAAGGAGCTTCTAAAATGCTTCAAATGCAAAAGGAAAGCATACAAGCAATGGGAGAATGGGCTGTCATCAAGGATGCATACTAGGAAATAGCAAGAACCTGCAGGCACAAAATTAGGAAAGCAAAGATGAAGAATGAGCTGCACCTGGCAAAGGAGTTTAAAGACAAGAAGAGGGTCTATCAGTACGTTGGCCAGAAAAGAAGGACCAAGGAAGCTGTGGGTCCTCTCTTAACAAGCTGGGGGAGCTCCTACCCCAAGATACAAAAAATGCAGGGCTCCTCAACAGCTGCTTTGCCCCAGTCTTCACAAAAAATTTAAGCTGCTGCCAGACACCTAATAGGGATTATCTGGATAAAGAAGGGGGCAAGTGGAGGGAGGAGATAATAGAAGAGACAGTCAGAGAGCTTTTGTTGGGCCTGAATGAATTTAAGTTAGCAGGGTCGGATAAGCCTCATCCCAGGGTCTTGAAGGAACTGGCAGAGGAGATTTTGGAGCCCTTGGCAATGATCTTCATGAAGTTGTGGGAGACAGGCCAGGTACCAGAGGACAGGAGAAGGGCTCACATAGTACCCTTCTTTTAAAAAGGCAAGAAGGAAGACCCAGGGAACTGCTAGCCTCACCTCAGTACCTGGGAAGTTATTGGAGCACATCCTAAGAAGGCCATTTGCAAGCATCTGGAGGGGGACAGGCAGATGGATTTATGAAAAACAAATCATGTCAAACAAGCCTGATCTCCTTTGCACAAAGTAACTACTTGGGTGGATGAAAGGAAATGCTGTGGCTGTCGTGTATCTGGACTTCAGCAAGACTTTTGACAAGATCCTGCACAACCTTCTCCTAAACAGATTGGAGAAATAAGAGCTCGATAGAGCTACTACAGCAGGAATAGGCAAAATGCGGCCCATGGGCTGGATGCGGCCCGCTAGGCCATTCTATCCAGCCTGCGGGGCCCCTAAAAAATTTAGAAAATTAATAATTATCTGCCCCTGGCTGCCTGTCATGCGGCCTTCGATGGCTTGCCGAAACTCAGTAAGCGGCCCTCCGCCCAAAATAATTGCCCATCCCTGGACTACAGGGTGGGTTGATCACTGGCTCAATAGCCATGAGCAAAGGGTAATTATTAACAGGTCCGAACGGCAGGAAGTTTCTAGTGAAGTCTCACAGGGGTCTGTCCTGGGCCCAGTGTGGTCCAACATGTCTAGTCATGATTTGGATGCTGGCATAGAAAACATCTTGAGCAAGTTTCTGAATGACACAAAACTGGGAAGGATGGTGAACATGCTGGAGGATGTGAGCACAATTCAGAAGGATCTTGACATTGGGAAGTCAGGCTGGAGTCCAGTGCGGACAAATGCAAGGGCCTGGACCTTGGGAGGAATAATCAAAAGCACAGATACAAAATGGGGGACACCTGGCTGGATGGCAGCATTATGGAAAAGGGCTTGGGAGTCTTGGTAGACCCCAGGCCCAATGCGAGTCTGCAGTGTGATGCAGTCATACAAAAGGGAAACATGGCGTTGGGCTGCATCAGTAGCAGCATGAGGTGCAAGACATGGCAGGTGATAGTGTCCCTCTACTCAGCACCCATCAGGCCTCATCTGGAGTACTGTGTGCAGGCCTGGGCTCCACATTTTAAAAAAGGACATAGAGAAATTACAGAGGGTCCAAAGGCAGGCAATAAAGATAATCAAGGCTTGGAAGACAAGTCGTATGAGGAGAGGCTGCAGGAACCAGGTATGTTCAGCTTGCAGAAAAGGCTCTTAAGAGGACACATGACAGCAGTCTTCAAATACCTGAAGGGCTGCCATCAAGAAGAGGGAAAGCACCTTTTCTGTCTTGCTGCAGAGAGGAGGACGTGGACCAGTGGCCTGAAGTTGCAGAAAAGTAAGTTCAGATTGGATATCCAGAAAAAAAATCCTTCACTGTGAGACTAGGGAGGCAGTGGAGTAGATGCCTAGGGAAGCTGTGGACTCTCCATGGCTGGAGGTGTCCAAGAAGAGGTTGGACAGCCCTTGGTCAGGATGATCTAGGTGTAATCGTGCTTATGTTCTGCTGTGGGTATTTCCCCAGCTTCTGGGCTTTGCTTGTCCCCTGCTTTGGCGTCTGTTGTGTCAGGGTTGAGGGTAGTCATGTCAAGTTTAAATTGTGGTTGTATGGGATGGCTTGGCTAGAGCTGATCCTGCCTCGGGCAGGGGATTGGATTAGATGACCTGTGCAGGTCCCTTCCAGCCCTATTTCTTTATGACTCTATAACAGTCAGTCCTAGTGCTCATTAGCTAATTAGGTATGGATTATAATGGCATTAACCTAAACCAGAACATTGTATAAAAACCAATAGGAAATTTGTTCCAAAGCTCTTGGACTTACCTCTCTTTGGCTCCTCCAGTTTTCAGTTCAGTGGTTTTTAATTGGCATGACAAGCTGTCCATATCTTGTCAGCACTTTCCCCACCTTTCCCACTCGTTCTCTTCTGGGATATACTCAAGTGTATTCCAGGACTTCCATCCGCCACAAATGGTCTTATTCAAAGTCACTTCTAGTTTTGTTTCCTCGTTATTTAAACATGTTATGATTGGCCTTCTGGAGTTTAGGATCCACACCTAAGAAAATTGATTGCTTATTTTCTCTCTTATTTTGACTGCAAGTTCATCACTGGAGATGACAGTCAGCCGTAGGTGTCCCCATCTCACAAGTGGCGAATGATAATCCCATAAACCCAACACCCAGCCCCGACCTAATCAAAACCAACCTGGATAGTGTATATTTTGCATATCACGTGTCCCCAGATAATCCATGCACCTTGTTTTTGGAAGGCAGGTAGTAAAGAAAAGTCTTTTTCTAGAGTCATGCCCAAGAGTTGACTGCATGCAGCAGCTCACTCACCCTCAGCCAGTTCAATGGCTGCTTCAGACAAAAGCTACAGCATTAACCCATTCACAGCTGCTACTGAATTAGCAGCAGCTTTTGACTGATCAGCCAAAAGCAACTGTCAATTCAGCTGTGGCTGTGAAGGGATTAAAAAAGGACTCCACCCCTGCTCCTTGCTGACTCAGAGAGTGTGGCAGTCATTACAGCACAGAGCCTCCATGCTTCTATTCCAGAAAAAAAAAATCAGCTTTCCTGCTTAAAGATGTGAATCCCAATTTTGGAGGGTTCAATATGGGGGAAAAGAACATGTGGTATGTGAGTAAGGTTTTGTCTTTGCAATTCCTCTGGCTTCTGTTTGTCGGCATTGTGCAAACAGAGACAATCATTTCCCATACACAGACACTAGAGTGACCTGCCACACACTACCGCTCCTGCTCAGCAGTGTTGTCAAAGTTGCTAGTTCTCTCACTTTGGTGTATTATATTTTGCACCCCAAGTCAGTCTAAACAGGGTCCTGAGTCACAGTTAATAAGGCTTTGCATCTGCATGGCCACTAAGAGCGCTCTTCTGACATGCTGAGTAGAGCCCACCAGTGCACCTACAAGATAAGAAAGTCCATCTCCATTTGCAAGGGAAGGAAAGTGAGGCCCGGGAAGGCTGGGACTTGCCCAGGGTCACACACACTCTGCTGGCTTCCAAGCCTGTCTTTGAACCACAGGACTGTCCCTGCCCCACGGTCACCACAACCGGCTGCATTCACATGCCACCTCCCAACGCCATCTCAAGAGTTGGAGTCTGTCTTATCAAAACGCTGGTTCACAAAGTAGCCGAAGGAGGCTGCTGTGATACAGTACATATCAACTGCACACACGTCATTAGCTTGCCCCTGGCTCAGATCATGGAGGAGGTGGAGAGCACCCTCAGCCCCATTGCTAGAAGCTTTAATCCCAGGAGAATCAATGGGTGCGGGCTTTTGTCCTTAAGATATGGGTAGGTAACTTCCTGGTTCCCCATAGTTTTAACCACACGTTTTGAAATCCTGGGGAGAAGTGGAGGGGAGAAGTGACTCAGGATGGGAAATTCTCAGTTTTTTCCCCTTAAAGAGGTGGGTGAGAGGCTTACAGGAAACACCAAGCCCCAGGGAGGGCGGTGGGGACTGTATCATCACTGTGATTGCTGCCCAGCTGTTTGTGCCTGTGTAACACCTTTCTTCTGTCTTCACTCAAGCTACACTTCTGATGAAGCAGGCCTGGCCACAGACCTCAACCTCTTGTGCCACTGAGGGCACGTTTCACCTCCCAGTGGACACTGGGACTGAGAACAGAACTTACCAAGCCTCATCTGCAGCATTCAGTAAATACATCTTTTCTTCTGGGGTTTTTACGCAGTTGTTTTGCCTTCCTGTGTCACTCTTCTCTTTCTCTCTCTCTTTCTCTCTCTCTCTTTCCAGTGGCTTGGGGGCATTATTTGGGACATATAACCTGCTTGCAACATAATTGGTTAATTTTGTGTATGTGTTAAGGCTCCGTTGAGTATTTATTGTACGCGATTATTAATGATGCCGAGCTCAGTGGTGTTCATAACGCGGTAGGGAAGACACCACTCCAGAAGTGGCCCAGTTTCGATGAGAAGTCATACCCCAGTGACCTTAAAGGGTCCTTTCTACTGTGTGGATCTCTGGACACTGTGTTTTTCTTGGAAACGTGCTGAATTTCACTGCCCCACATCAGCATCTCTACAAAAACATGCTAGGAGGAAAAATATTGACACCCGCTTGTGTCCTTTAAAAGGAAGAGAGAGAAATGTAGAGATGAACAGGGAAAGCCTCTCTGTTTTAATTGTCCCCTTCTTTGCGGAATAGAGCTCAAATCGTCTTTTAGATGCATAGTCTTATTCATGCTTCCTTTCTCTTTCCTGGGCTGGGGGCTAATTCATACTGTCAATATGCCCAGATTACTGCACTTGGCCATGCTTCAGTCAGATAATGAATCCAGCCTTAGCAATAAATCTATGTGCGCTTGGTCATTTAAGTGACATAGCTTGCATAGAGGAGAGTACCGGTAAGGAGGGGGTCACTTCGTCCTTCATTCAAATGGAGAAGGGAGGAGAAAGGGGCAGTCTCAAAACAAAGGTAATGCTCCAGGGATCCTGGTGAAAGTCTCACCAAGACTTCACTTTGTACCTCTAACCAGGCAAGTGGCTTCTATGATAGGTTTGTTTCTCCTGTCCCTTTAGCGTGGAAAGACCACAGTGAATACACAGGCTTGCAGGTTCTGGTGCAGTTCCTTATTTACAAAGGAAGGAACAAGACAATGCCCCCAAGCCCAGCACAGCCGCAGGGAAGGAGGACAAGTTTTGGAGGCATAGGTAGCTCTGCCATGTCTGATCCACCAAGAGCCATCTCCTCATTTGCTGTTGAATCTGTGCCACTGCCAAGCAGCTCCGTGCTGAAAGCGCCAGCAAGCCTCTAAATGTCCAGCTCACACCCGTCACCTTGCCTGGCCCAACATAGTACCTGCTCCGTTGACAAGCTGCCACCCATATTCAGTGCAGCATTCAGTGCATGTCTTCACGCCTCCTTGAAGCTCCTTGTCATGAATGTGGTGGTGGCAGTAATTTTGAAAACAGGGGTTGGGCTTTACCTGTTCAAAGCAGCTTGAAGATCTGTAGTAGGAAGCCAAATTCCTAGGAGCAGCGCAACAGGGTAGGAAGAGGACAGTGCCCCAGCCTGCTTCTAAATCCCACCAAGGATGTGCACAAAGCTCCCAAATAATGCTTTCAGTCAAAATTCAGTGTAAAGCAAGCCTGAGGCAGACATGGCTGCGGTAGGGAGGGATGACAGGGATGCCTGTTAAGGTTGCTTGACACTTCCCATCATTGGTGATGCCTAGGGGGTGCACGCGGGTGCATGTGCTCTGTGGCAGAATGCCACCTTGGTTTCTCCCCCAAAAAATCTCTGCCCTGTGACACTGTGATTTAAATCTCTGTGCTGTGACCATTCAATTAGGATGGGCCCAGCACACAGGGGACCACACCCTCAGCCTGTCTCTTTAGGGAACTGGAGCTGGCTGCATTCCTGAGGGAGGGGGAAACCTGCTCCCTCTGCCTACGTGACTTGCATCACTTACCTGGGTAAGGGGTTTCTACCTGGGGAGCTGGAATCTGCCCGGTAACAGGTGATGCATTTCAGATTGGTTGGCTGACAGCCAACTGGGGCTGACCTCCGCTGGCCCAGGTGAATGAGGTCACAGGGGCTATATAAGTTAGGACGGGGAAGGAGGCGGTCTCTCCTCTCCGGCCATGAGGTGACGCAGCAGCCAGGCAGGGGACAGAGAAGCCTTAACATCTGAAACTGGCTCTCTCCCCCCAAACTCACGAGCTAGGAACCGCCTGCCTCCAAAGGGAAACTTCACCTGCCTTTGGAAGATGCTTGTGAGTAAGCTACTCAATCTGATTAGATATTTAGCTGAAGGTATCACATATGCGTAATCAAAAGGCTACCACAGCCAGACTGTTTGCTCTTTAGGATTTCTAGATATTGCTCTATCCTGTACCCTAGTTTACCCTACCCCCTGTAATCAATAAAGTTCTCCTTTTTGACTGGTGTGGGAGACTTATTGAGGGGTGGGTCTAAATTATGCCTAAGAGACCCCTTAGGTCTGCAGACTAAGGGAGACTTCACTTTTTGCCCCCGGACTTGGGGAAGTACCCCAAGTGCCTGTATTGGGTCGAGTACCCGTAGGACTATTAGGCCTGTGTTTCCCCGAGGATACAGGGCCGAGACAGTCCACTCTTGGGGTGGTGGTGGCACGTTACCCCCAGACTAGCGAGTGTGCTCCGGGAGAGGGGTTGGCCAGACATAAGGCGCCCCTAGGGAGGCATTCGGAGCCTGGAAGGTGGTCGGGCGCAGGGAGGGGGGCAGCTTGACGCTGGAGCACCCCCTACTTGCCCGCCTCACGTGGTGGAAACAGCGGAGGGATATGAATACCCAGCTGTGTTCCTGAGGTGGGATCTCTGCACCCACCACATGCTCACCCTGAGATCCGCTGTGCACCCCGAAACTTGAAGTCCCAGTGGAAGTACACTTCCAGTTTCGCTGCTGGCTTGGCAATTGGCTGCTGGGGGGGAGTCCCCCTGTCAGCGATCTGGTGCCCCCCCCAGACTCAGGAGGTACCAGTCGCCCATGCTTCCCATTATCAACCCCTGTTTACTCTTAGGAAGTTTTCCAAGCTTTGCCCTTTGGGCTGCCACTTCCCATACTGGGTGTCTGTCTCAGGCTGGTTTCTTTTGTAATGGCTCCGCTGTTTTAAAGATGAGGCCAGAGGTATAGGCCTTGTTTTCCCTATGCTCAAAAATTCTTGGCTTCAAAAACTCTAGCATCCCCACCCCCTGGCCGCCCCTCAGTTTCAAGTAGGTGTTTGAAGTTTGCCAGGCACTTGACTTCTTGTCTGCCATACTGGAGACCCAAGGGATCTGCTTTGCAGGAGTGCTGAGGACTCTTACTTAAAATCATAGAAAATGCAGGTTGGAAGGACCTCAGGAGGTCACATGTAGTTCAGCTCCTGCTCCAACCAGGACCAGCCCCAACTGCATCATCCCAGCCAGGGCTTTGTTGACCTAGTCCTTAAAAACCTCCAAGGATGGAGAGTCCACAGTCTCTCTAGGTAACTCGTTCCTATTGAATCGGCGGGAATTGTGCACAAACAATATGAAGCGCTTTCTAACAGTACGGGTTCTGAAGAACTGGGTCTGAGGTATCGCTAACTGATGCCCGCAATCTTCCCAGGCCTCAGTTCCCAGTCTGTAAAATGGGCATAGCAGCAGTTCCTCTTAACATAAATCCAATTAATAACTTGGAACAACTCAGATACTGAAGCGAGGGGCACTGTAAAAAAAGAAATGCTTGGGAGGAAATCCCTCATGCTGTCTTCAGAGCAGGACTGGAATAGTGTGCAGACCACCCTAGGGTGCAGTCCTAGGGCCACCCATTGAGCAAGGATAAAGCAGACTAATGAACAGCTTCTTTTAAGTGAGCACCATTCATCTGGTGCTTTACTGAGGCCAAGGTCCTCTGGAAGTAAAGATGTGCTACACTGTAATTAAAGATAATCATGATGCACAAACGTGAGGAAGGCAAAATCAGGTTGCCCAGGCAGCTTTCATTCAGGCCTTGCCTAGCTTAGAGTGCTTGGTTTTGCAAGCTTGGCAGTGCTCCTATCACGGCATACCACGGCAGTCACTTCTGCCAAGATGCCCTAGTTGCAATGAGACCCTCATTGTGCAAGGTACTGTACATGTGGGTAATGCGAGACAATTACTGCCACAGACCCTTAAAATCTAAGGGCATGTCTGCCCTTTAAAAAGCCAAAACAGCTGAGGCACTGGGAACCTATGCGAGGATGCATGGGGAGCGAGAGCAGCAAAGACACAGCAGGATTCGAAAGGATGTGGGTATGGGGGCCAGAGGTGCACGCTCAGGCTGCTGACGATTCCCTATGGAAGTAGGCCAGCCAGCATCCCAGCTGCTCCTGCAGATTGCTGTGTAGACATAGCCTAAAACAAAAGGACAGGCCAAGGCTGGAGGAGAGAAGACTGAGCAAGGATTTGATAACAGCCTTCAAATACCTGAAGGGTGATTACAAAGTGGATGCAGGTGGGCTTTTCTCTGAGGTTGCCAGGGACAGGACTAGGAGCAATGGTCTCAAACTGCAGCAGGGAAAATTGAGGTTGATTAGGACGAACTTTGGAGCAGGCTCCCTAGAGAGCTCGTGAACGCTCCAGCCCTGGAAGTTTTCAAGCAGGTTGGATGAACGCTTGGCCAGGATGGCTTAGTCAGGGATGATGCTGCCTTGAGCAGGGGGCTGGACTAGAGGACCTGGTGAGGTCTCTTCCAGCTCTATTTTCCTATGGTCCTAAAGAGCAGGGTGGGAAACAGGCACAAGTGCTGGCATGTCCCAGGCCAGCAGGCCTGCAGGGAGCATAGCAACACTTTCTGATGACTAACTTGACTTTACTGGTTAAATCTGGACCCACAGCCACAGCCCCATACACTGCTTCAGACACATTTCTGGCTTTTGTTGTCTTTCAACCTGCTCCCTACAGTGGGATTCAGCTGTAGTCCACCTGTGCCTGTAGTCCCAAGGATGCCTTTATTCTGGTATACATCCTACAGTGAACCAGGCAGTTTTACAATATAATGGCCAGGTTAAAAGCTCCCACGACTGCTGTTTTCACTGTAAACTGTGTACAGGGCCCAGTGCTGACCCACAGAAGTCACTAATCTGCAGCCAGCCAGCGCCATGCTCATCAGGAGGCTGCACAGCACTGTACTGATGTAGAAGAGGGTAAGAGAA